GAATGAAACAAGTCTATTATTTTGAACCTGTAGTGCATTTGGAATATTAGATCACCAGGACTGTCAACCACCTGAAATCCTGAGATTAAAACAAAATATGCGTGACTTCTACAGCGTGATTTATGTAATTTGGAGAAGTCAGTTTAATAGTGTGTTGCACGTCTTCAAAATATAAAACAGTACTGAGTATTATTAATCAGTGTCTGTGGAAAATAGGTGAGTATTCTTCACGTATCACACAGAAGAGAGGTGACTCAAGGCCATGCATCAATTTCCTGTCAGATTTTGGAGCAGATCTGTTCTTGGTTCCTAAAAAAGGTACTATTAGGCCCAAATTCAAAAACAATATTGTTGCAGAGTGGTTAAACTGATTATGAAAGTGATTTATTCAAAGCAGATTTTTGAAAGAGAAGTCTAGTAAGATGAATCAAATATTATTGTCAAAATAAATCTTTAAAAGTTAAAAAAAACTTTGTACCTTTTTGTGCCAAATTCAGCATTATCCTTCAAACAGTCTGGATTCCATATATTTCCTACAAGAGTGCAGAGATCATTTGCAATAAAATTATAATAACATTTTTTTGCTTGCTTGCACTCTTATACCACTTACACACAATTTTACAAGAATTATGTCCACCCCATTTTCTCCCAAATTTATTTTTAGAGATACTTTAATTAATCATACCATCATATTAAAGATTAATTTACTGCTGAGAACAAGGTCATTGGGAATACAATAAAGTACTCTTTCCTTCTCTGGAATGTTAAGCATCTGAACTGCACAGAAAAACCACGCAGGGGAGAAAAGAAAAAATAAATAAAACAGGACCTACTCACAAATCTCCTTATATATCTGCTTTCTTGGCAAAGGGTATAGTTACTTAAAGTCTTGTCCTTTGCTGTTTTGTTTACCGTTCTTCTTAACTAAAAAATAAATATTTAAGAGAGTCACATAATTGTACTCCCACTTGAAATTAGGACCATCTTAAATCATTGGTATTTTGGAATCATTTAAGTCACTGAGACTTAGGCAAAGAAGTTATCTTCCCACAGGAAAGACTACACAGGCAAGCATGGGCAGAATGACCTAGAGAAGCTAAAGCTTTGGCCTTCTTTTTGGATATCAGAAATGATATTACAAAATTCCAAGTGAATCATTTTGCATCTTTTTAAATGCACACTGAAACAGGGCAATGCACATTTGTGAAGAACAGATCTGACACTGTCAAATCAAGGCAATGTAAATATATGGGCTTGTTAAGTGACTTATTACAAGCAACTAGTAAAATACATGATGAACCATGCTCAGTTCTCTAGATCACTCTGACCTGGCTATTCTTAGCCATTCAGGAGAGAGAAAACAAAATAAACATATTTGCTGAACCACTACAGTGGAAAGTTCAGAACAGAAATTAAAAACAGTAGAGCATTATACTAATAAAATAATATATATATTTAGTAAGTGTTGATTATATCCACAAATTACAGAGGGTAGGACACTGATCATGTGACATGTTTCAATGCAGGTGGAAAGGGTCGAAAATGACCTAGTAACATGGTGATCCACAGCTTTCAAATGTAAGTTTTAATTCTAATACCAGTATCTTACCTTAAATGAACCTGGAAACGCAATTTTTTACATTGAAAGATCTGAACTATGACCAATAAAAATCTGTGGAATCATTTGAGAGAGACAATAACACCATCAGTAGCTACAGAAAAAAAAAAACATAAAAAAAAAAAATCTCTCGACTGGTAATTACAAAGCAATTCATACAGGGTTGGTTAAATTTTTTTTTTACAGTTAAGTGAAATTCAAGCTTTTGTTTTCTTCTCCTTCAAAAACCGTTTCAAATATTCTATTGATACAACAGGATATACTCTTTGCATTACTTGCATTCCTCAGTTTTGTATGTGTGGACAGAATTAAATACATATAATTACTGAAACTTTCCAGTAAGAGTGGTTCAGTGTGTGTTTGGTCCTTTCATTAATGTTCATATCAGTTGCTCCAAGATGTATGTATATATGTATATATTTATATTATGCTTTGTTTTTCATATTCCAATTTCTCAGATAACATTGTTTCCCAGAAAACATTCAATTTTCAGACGGTCAAACATGTGTAACATCCATATCACAAAAGCAATATCTGTTTAAAAAAAAAAGCAACAGAACAGAAATACTCACATTCCTTTTCTTCTGTTTTTTTAGCTGAAAATGCAGCTGGAGGTGGCGGAGGTGGCGATGATGGAAAATCCAAAACATGTATAATATTGTAATACATAGTCTCAAAGACACTGTTCTGCTACAGAAAAGACTTCTAGAAAGTACTTCAATGAGCCCTGTGGATTTCTGCTTGGCATAGAATAGTACAGATCCATCTCTTAACAATCCTCTTAAACATCTGCCAGTTGTTGGAAATAATTTTTAATGGAGTTAAAAAGAACAGTAACAATTAAAAACTGAAAAATCAAAACACAGAAGAAAAAATGATTAATGGTGCAAAGTAAGTTAACTGTGAGGTCATGATATTATTTCATGTCACAATTTGTACACAATGTTTTTATTACAATATGTAACATCTGCACACTGTTTTGAAAAATATAAGTAATTTTGATAGATCTTATATGAAATTACTGAATGAAACTTAACATGCATAATTCAATGAAAAAATTGTGCATTTCATAACTTGTGTATTTAGATTTTTATATTATGTGTATTTCCATAATCTGGAATTGTGTCCTTTTCCTTCATATTCAATACTAGATACAATTCTAGAGGTAAACCTTTATTTCTGTTTAGGAGAGCTAAAAATTATTCCCTGGCTAATATGTTTAAAGAAGCAGGTACACAGTCTTTTTCCAAAACTACCAAGGATAAATCTGTAAATTATACCCGCAGCTTGGAGAAACCCTTCCTTTGTTCATGCACAAGTGGCTCTGCTCATGCTTCATAAATTGACTACCTTTTATTTTTGAAAATATAAAAGGGCAAGCCATCAACATCATTTACATAAGAATTGACTGATACCTACATCAGGCTCTACATTGAATGTCATTTTAAAAGGCTCATGTACCCTTTTAAAATTCAATAAAAGGACAGAACTTTTCAGTATTTGAAAACCAATGCATAGCATCAGTTTAGTCAGGGGAAGGAGGAAATGGGAGAATGCCTTGTCAGAGCTCACATATCTCCCCTTCTAACAGTGTGTGCTACTTAGATCTTTGTAAGAAATATCAGTCTTCCTACAAAAACCTTCTGTCCTCGAAGAATGCAACAGAGCACTCCCTACCTGCTACTGGGGTCCCATGAATCTGGCTCTTCCTACAGCTGAAGGAGGAAAAAGCAGCTGTTATGCATGTACCTAGGCATTCAGTGGATCCAGTCCTGTCTCCTCCTAAAAGGAGAGGCTGTCAAGGCAAAAGAGCAGAACCACTTTTTTTTTTTTTTTCTCCTCAGAAGGGATCTCTCTTAGCATCCACAGATAAGCATATCTGCTCTACTGCACACCCTTCTAAGAATGCCCTACACACATACTGTACAGCTATCACCAGAAATCAAGAAAAATACACAAAATGTTTCCCACTGATATACTTACTTACAAATAGGCCAAATCTTTTATGTAAACTTAACAATGCCATAAAACTGGGTATCAGGAATTATTTTCTGTACTACATGTAGATACAAAAGAAATCTATTCCAAGGTTGTTTTATTATGTAATTTTATTCAAACTATATTAAGTGTTTTATTTAATATGTACCCTGTACCATTTTATAACTGTGTTTTGAAGACCCATCAAGGACTTATTTATTCAAAACACATGCCTAACGTACAATACTTGCAGCAACAAATATAGCAGCACATTCTGGAAAAACCCCTTCGGGCAAGTTGCATACATGTAAGCAGATTGCTGCAGATTGGATTTGGCTCTCAATCATGCTTGCAAGACGACAGAGAATTAACCTTTAAATCCATCTTCTTACCTAAAGAAGCCTTCACACAAGCCTACATTATTTGTTACTCAAGGACACCCTAAATGCATCCTTGTAATGTCAACTATTATGTAAGTACAAACTGTTAAAAATGTAATTAATATTACTTGTAAATAGAATTCTCTATTGATATTCATGTGAGTGCATGCAATATGTTCATAAATACATTGCAACCACCTCTACTGTTATATTTTCCACATCAAGTATTTATTATGATATCTACATTGGGAAAATATTTATCAAAAATACATTTTATACAGCATTAACTTTCATCAGATTGTCTAACGTGAACATTTAATTCAAAACAAGTGTGTCCTTTATATTCAAAGTAATTTTCATCTGACAAAGAAAATGGTCTCTGTAACTATTCATGTGCAGACTGTTTCTTTGGAAAAATACAATAAAGAATGTTTAAAGTTGTGTTGCAGTTTGAATAGGAAAATGAACCCACTATGATTCTCAAGCAATAAATATTCTTTACTTGTATATTTAGGATTACACTTTAAGGAAGGATTAACGTTCATTCAATGTTAAGGAGATCAGAAACCATAGATAACCAACCACGTGTACATCTCCAGTAGCAAGCGATGTATTTTATTTATTAAAACAAAAATTCATAATGAAGTAAACGTTACTAAGGAGTAGGGAAAACATTTCAGATACACGTAATTCAAGCAAAAAACACACTTGATAAAAACCGAACTTCCCTAATAGCACTTGAAAATACTTACACAGAGTAATACCTGAATATTAAAGACCACAGGACTAATAAATTTAAGTCTATTAACTCCAAATTAATAAATAAAAGTATTAATATATTAAAGTCTATGGCTATAAACTGATAATAGACCTTTTGAAAACTTCCCTTAAACAAATCAGGCAAAATCTGAGGTTTAGGATAAAATAAAAAAGAGCTGAATTCTGTGATGCACTATCAATAATCTAAATTCTTGTTTACATCCTTCCTCTTCATGACTACACAGGCTACCACAAGAAACAGTTTTAGGTCTGAATCCTTCTACAAAGATACTTCACGCAGATGGTCCAATGGCGTGACTTTAGAAACGGTAGACTGGCAGGAAAAAAAAAAAAGGCTGTGGTCCCTAAATATGATTGGATTTCCAGGCACTCATCTTGATGCTCTAAAAAGAAAATCAGTCTATGTCCACTTCAAGTTTCAGAGAAACAAGTCTTGAAAATATTCATCAAATTCCTCCTCCCTGTAAAAAATAAAAATACGTGAAATCATGTTCTGGTTTTGATCTATTAGGAGACAATTTTTGTATAAAAAGATTTAGCAGATTTCCAGTTACAATATGTACCCAGTATATATGCCATTTTGATTTCTTCACTATGTTCCCATACCCTTTGCATGTCCCCTTCTGTGCAAAAGCTGGGAGTTGGCTGTTAGGATTTACTTCCAAGATAGCTGACCTATTCTGGCACCAGTCTGTTAGTTGCTTGACACATAATTTTAAATATCAGAATATTCACCAAAACATTTAGGAAAAGTTTCTACCTTTGGAATTCTGAATGATCATAATTATTCAAACTTTTACTAGATACAAATTTATTGGTAGACCAAACTAACCGTGATTTTTCATCTGGCTCTTGTAGGGGACCTTTCCAAAAGTCTGCATCTGAAGGGCCATCTTGCACATCACTGTTATCTGAATCTGTTGAAAAATGAAGTGCCTAAGAATTTATCAAACTTTTCATCCAGATGCTTGTTTCGTAAAAGCAACATTTAATTGTAACCACAGGACTCAACACCAACTCTTTATATGAAATGAAAATATTTGCCAAATGTTATTCAAAAGAGCATCAAAATGATTCCTAGATATCATTAAACTGATATCTAGTCCAAACATAATAGCAGTCAGGACAAAACTCTGATGCTTAAAACATGAGTAACATAGCACTTTGTTCCTAAAATTAAAGACTTAAAATCAAAAATCCAGGATCACAATTCAAATATTGCTATTAAATGAATCAGTTATTCTACTTACATTTATTTTTTTTAATCAATTGTAATTTATCAGTGAAATTGTCAAAAACATGTTTTTCTGAATAACTGTTCAGTATAAGTATCCCGAGGGAGTGAAATAGGAAAAATGTCCCTTTATTAGAAATATGCCTTGACTTGAGGAAAAAAAAAATTTCCTATAGAACTTTCCTGTCAAGACAGTAGATATGTTTTCAGTCATAAAACTGCACCTGGCTGAGAAGTAATAGGACTTTCCAAAAAAACTGGTATTCCACAGAAAAGCAATCAGTAGAAACATTCAGGACCTTGTGGATACTTTGCAGTAAGAATGAGGAGCCTCATTCTTACTGCACGGGGCTGCTTTCTCAGAAGAGACAATGTGGCTGGATTTACTGCAATATAAGAATAACTATTGCCAAGGAATGGCTAAAACGCGATCTCTTGCATCCGGTAGGTCTCTGAGGTAATACAGGTAGTAACTGGAACAGTTGTTGGTTAAAGTATAGGGTATATTTGGCCTGGTGTCTTTCCCATGCTCTCCCATTGATATTGCAGGTGGCATATGCATTAGTATTTTTCCACAAAAGGAATCAGAATAGTTACTAATACACTAGAAAACATGCATTATCTTGACCCACGCAATTATTAACAATACACCTATTTTTGCACCCAAATACTTTTTCCTGAGCAAACTAGCCCCTTATTTATTTCCT